AAGGTAAATATTCCAACATTTTTTGCATTTACTATTATCTTTATAGATAAGAAGAATATTAAGGGTCTGTAAAAGTAATCCTTCGCTATAAATTTGGTTTGATAAGAAAATAAACTTAAAATTTCTATTTACTATTAAAAAAAACACTGTATTTCTAAGAGGAATAAATAACTTCGAAGTGTTTCATTCACAATATATTTTTATATATATATATATATATATATATATATATATATATATATATATATATATATATATATATATATATATATATATAAAAAAAGCACTAAAAAACCAACAACACTGTATATCCTAAATGTCGGATCTACAAAGTAGATACAAGGTCAAGGATGGAAATTTATATAAAGCACTAAAAATGACCAACGACACGAACAATAAAAATTGTCAAATTTTCGGGACGCCCTGTCCCTTCCTCAGGACAAAGAAAAAAGTTAGAAAGTCATAAGAACAAAGGAAAAAGAGAAACAAGAACAACTAGCACTACTACTACTAAACTACTAAACACTAGATATTTACATACTTAATTACATGATGAATTGGAATTTTTAAAAACACTAATAAAGAAAGAAATCCGGACCGCTATGAAATGCGTCCGGTCTATCGGGTATACTCGGGCGAAGTGCGATTTACATAATTGAACGAATCAATTATGCTAATTAATTACGACAATCAGTAAATCGTACATTGTTTCATTCTCTCAAAATGGCGTAACTTTACTTAATAAAGAATAATCGAAGAAAAATAATGTAGCAGGGATATTTAAACATATGAATTATGATCAATTATAAATTTTGAAATATTTAGGGACTTATTACCGGGAAAAAATAATTAACAAAGGTGTAAGCAATACATAGTTATGAGAGTTGTTCGAGAGTTGGTGACGCAAATTAACTGTAGAATTTACACTAAATTGAGAGAATAATCTTGTTTAGTATCATCAGGAATTGGGTCTAGTTTACGTTCATTCTGGTGAAGTCATTCAGTTTGTTAATACCATTAGGGCGGAATGACTTCAATCTGTGCATCCAGAACTTTTCTTTGCTTTTTCTCTGAGCATCTGTCCATCTTGGGTTATGGTCAATCACCACTACTGTCATGTCCTCCCATTTGTGACCCTCAAGGTTGAAATGTTCCCCAACGGGTTCATTGAGTTTTTTGGTCCTAATGGTCGAACGGTGGTTATTGACTCTCCTGCGGAGATCTCCTGTTTCACCAATATACTGTTTGGAGCAAACTTTGCAACTGATGAGATAAATGCAGTTGTCAGTATGACAGGACAAATTCCCTAGTATTTTGTAGCTGCGGCCTGTAACAGGGCTGTTAAAACTGTCTGTGTCAGTGCTGTGCTTGCAAAGAAGACATCTTCTGTCAGAGCAAGTTTTAAAGCCCCCGTTAGGTAATGGGTTGTCCAGTCTGGTTCTTACTACCATGTCCTTTAGGTTCCTTGGGCGTCTGTATGCAGCCAATGGGGGTTCCTTAAAGACCTCTACCAATTCTCCATTCAAACAAACGAATGGCAGAGGTCTTTAAGGAACCCCCATTGGCTGCATACAGACGCCCAAGGAACCTAAAGGACATGGTAGTAAGAACCAGACTGGACAACCCATTACCTAACGGGGGCTTTAAAACTTGCTCTGACAGAAGATGTCTTCTTTGCAAGCACAGCACTGACACAGACAGTTTTAACAGCCCTGTTACAGGCCGCAGCTACAAAATACTAGGGAATTTGTCCTGTCATACTGACAACTGCATTTATCTCATCAGTTGCAAAGTTTGCTCCAAACAGTATATTGGTGAAACAGGAGATCTCCGCAGGAGAGTCAATAACCACCGTTCGACCATTAGGACCAAAAAACTCAATGAACCCGTTGGGGAACATTTCAACCTTGAGGGTCACAAATGGGAGGACATGACAGTAGTGGTGATTGACCATAACCCAAGATGGACAGATGCTCAGAGAAAAAGCAAAGAAAAGTTCTGGATGCACAGATTGAAGTCATTCCGCCCTAATGGTATTAACAAACTGAATGACTTCACCAGAATGAACGTAAACTAGACCCAATTCCTGATGATACTAAACAAGATTATTCTCTCAATTTAGTGTAAATTCTACAGTTAATTTGCGTCACCAACTCTCGAACAACTCTCATAACTATGTATTGCTTACACCTTTGTTAATTATTTTTTCCCGGTAATAAGTCCCTAAATATTTCAAAATTTATAATTGATCATAATTCATATGTTTAAATATCCCTGCTACATTATTTTTCTTCGATTATTCTTTATTAAGTAAAGTTACGCCATTTTGAGAGAATGAAACAATGTACGATTTACTGATTGTCGTAATTAATTAGCATAATTGATTCGTTCAATTATGTAAATCGCACTTCGCCCGAGTATACCCGATAGACCGGACGCATTTCATAGCGGTCCGGATTTCTTTCTTTATTAGTGTTTTTTAAAAAAAAAAATTCCAATTCATCATGTAATTAAGTATGTAAATATCTAGTGTTTAGTAGTTTAGTAGTAGTGCTAGTTGTTCGCTTCCTTTTCCACAATATGTATATACCAGCAGGGAGAAACAGCATAACGATAGCAGGAATAGGCAATCCGACGTTTGACACTTGTTTAACAAGGGGGAAAGGGATTTATCTCAATGAAAATCAACATATTTCTTTCGAGGATGTTACAGGCAGTTGTTTTGGAGACGTAGCGAAATGTAATCTTGGTATAACCTTTGTTTTAAATCTAAAATTAAGAAATCAGACTTCTAAGTGTTATGTATTCAGTAATGGTGGGGAAGAAGCTACGAACTACGGTTATGCCATGTGGTTTGAAAATAACAAACTTTACGTGCGAATCAGCACAAAAAGATTAGAGTGGATGACCTACACTTCTGCCGTCAAAATGGAAGAATTAATACAGATTGAAATGTCCTGGAGTCGGCAGAAGGGGATACAGCTTCGTATTAACAAGGAAACCAAAGCAGCAAGCAATCAATGCATTTCTCGACCTGCAGCATCATATACAGTCAACAAAGACTTCGTAGTTGGTGGGTCCTCGAAGGGAGATAACGGTTGTCTGATGATTTTAGAATACTTCACCGTGGTATATGCTTTTAGGGATATTGTTAATGGTACAGGAATTTTACCAGGTAAAGTGAAATAAGACCAATTATAAGACCATATATGACATTTAGTTTGTCAAGTATGAATGTTAAGTCAGTACGTTGTTTTTTATTTTGTTGCAATAAAAACATATAGTAATAATTACATTATTTGTAGGTTAAAATAGTACTGAAAGCAATGCTTTTATATATTATTAATTGCATTTGACATCAAAGATACTTTATTTTGTACACTATGCGATACATTCTTTAAATAACTGAATTATTGACTTTTCTGTCAGATCTAGGTACACATTGTGATCGTAATACTACTGAAGAAGTTCAATGTCAAGCAGCTGTACAAATGACATCTACTGACATCGCTTTCGTTTCAACTTTTGGAATAGCCAGTGCTCTTTTTGCATGCATAATAATATTATTTATCTTCATCGGATGAGACATTAACATATCTTTGTTCTTCAAATGAACATGGTTTGCAGAAACATATCATTTCTCTTTAAAATAGTGCAGACCGTTTTTAAAACAAAAGGGCACTTTAAATGTTTTTCCTGCATCATTTCAGATGTAGACGTAGACGTAGACGACACAAGAAGAAAAGAACTTTTTATGAACAAAATTCTGACCAAAGTATAATATTACAAAAGAAATCCCTCCAGGGACCAAGATCTATCCCGATATATTGGAATACTCATGGAGCACATTTTTATAGATATGCTTCAAGTAGAGACTCACAAATGCATGAAGCTGACAGGTATTGTAGACATCTAACAATTTATGATATTTTTAATTTTTTTACTTTCTTTATTGATAATTGTGTTCTTTCATGAGCTGTCTAAAACCTGTTTTTCATAGATATGGAGATTCTAAACCTAAAAACGGAAAAGAGACAAAATCAAGCCTCCATAGCGACAGATATCTCTCGACTAATGCAGCTGAATTAGACATGAGTTCTAAATACCATAATTCAGAGAGTCACGGCTGGTTTGGCAACATTGCATTCGGGCAGGAAAGATACGGAAATTCCGTAACTGCAAAAGAGAGGATTGTCAGTGATCAAGGAATTGACACATCTTTGGCTCGTTCATCTTGGATTCAAAGAAGTTCCAGTGAATTTAGGCAAAATTTACAGGACAATTCCAAAGCTGAAAATGAAAGATTTGAAACAACAGCTTGGATTCCTGTCGAAAGAGAAGAAACGGACGTTGCTGTATACCAGACTTCAGAAAGCAAGGAAAGAAGATATGAATCGGACCTCTTTATGTTTGACAGGCATGCCAAAACGAAAGATGAAATGAGCAAAGTCAAAAACAGTATTGTAGCAGGTACTTTATTGGATCATCAAGAATATAAAGAATCGGTAAAAAATGCTTCCATTACAAAAGAAAATAGTTCTAAGTTTTACCAAAGGTCAGAAAAGGTGAACAGATGTCCATATTGTTGTAGTCATAAAGAAGCAAACAAGAACATGGCCATTTATTGTGCTTCAAAAAAGACAGGTTCTACTGTAGATAGTGGCTGCCAGACAGATGTTCCACTTGAGGCGCATCAAACATTAAATACAATGGGTGATGTATTGCACTTAGAAGATGGACAAATGAACAGACAGAGTTATGGCAGAATTGAGAATGAGAAATCAGGGTGGGAACATTATTCTGTTAAAAAATCAAGTTCTACTATTATGATGTCTAGTGGTGAACAAACGGATGAAAGCAAATCCCATTATGGAGCTGATTCAAGCAGCCGTAAATTTGAGGACCGAGTAATCTCAGAGAAAGTTGCAGTTAAAGAAGACGTTGGGTGTATTTATTCATCTAACCCACGACCACAAGACAAGATTCTGAGTAAAATGCAAGTACGAATGTCTGAAAGCAAAGCAAACGAGTTAGGTCAAAGAGCAGGTGAAAAGTCGGGAGAAATGCGTAGTTCATTGAATTCTGATACCGTTGCATCAAATATCAAAGCCAAAGGAAAGAACCGATCAGATTCGTGTAAATACGAATTACCCGATGAAAGACAAAATGGATTCTTGCGCATTAAAATTAATGGGACAGATACAAACAGCTGGACGACCGAAACCATCTTTAAAGAAAATGAAAAGGACTGTTTTGAGGTTGATACACCACCAACTTCTAACCTTCATATCGATGCCGAGCAAAAACACCTGCAACATAAAAAGAATGGGCCGATTTTGTCTGTTGGCGAGGATCAAGAGCAAACTGTATGGCTAGAAGACGGCAGTATGTCCTCAAAAACGAAGGTACTCTCTTCTGGGGAAATGGAAGGCTATGAATTAAACAGTAATGATGGGATGCGACCGAATAGTAGTGGATTGTTTGAAATAAGAACATACTGGCTCTCCGATGAAAAAGATCACAAGGTCAGATCTCTAAGCGACCCACAGTCAACAGAAAAAAAGCGAGAACATTCGGGTCATAATGCTCATGTTACAATAAAAGCAGGTGTAACAAAAATGCGTCTTACTGACCCTACCCTCCCTGTACAGCACACAATGTCAGAATCCAAAAGCGAGAAAACAAGTCCTAAAATGTCAAGGAATGAAAGCAATGGATTTTTTAAGGATAAAGCACACCGGTTTTCAGAAGAAATATCTAAAAGAAGTAACAGTTTTCACAACAGAACAGCCAGCAGAATCAAAAGAGAGGAAGTCTGTCTTTTCAAAGAAAGGCGTTTTTTCTACACAGCAAAAAGATATAGAACCAATAGAGATTCAAAGTAAAAATTACAGAATTAAAGAAACAGCCACTGCAATGATTCCAGTCTCTTATGGGGAACATGAGCAAGGATATCTCTTGAACAGGTATACTAAAGATTTAAATGTATCTTTCAAGATATTTAATAAAGTAGTGTTATTATCTGTAAATGTGAATGAAATGTAGAGCATATCTTATATCTGACACTTATATATAGATATAAGATAGATGGAACCGAGGGATCTGGAATGGAAGGAGTGGTTTTTCAAAAAGGAAAAGTTATTTAAGTGCCTAAGAATTATGATTTGCCTAATTTAAGTCATTGCAAAATGGGGCATCTGAAGAAGAATGTTAAAACAGAAGAATGGAAAACGTTTCAAAAAGAGCACAATGGCCAAATGGTTGTTTTATTCCGTCCGTCCGTCTGTCCGTCCGTCTGTCCGTCCGTAAACTTTCCACATTTTCGACTTCTTCTCAAGAACCACTGGACCAATTTTGACCAAACTTGGTACAAAGCATGCTTGGGTAAAGGGAAATTTAAATTGTTAAAATGAAGGGCCAAATCCCTTCACAAGGGGAGATAATCAAGAAAAGACAAAAATAGGGTGGGGTCATTAAAAAATCTTCTTCTCAAGAACCACTGGGCCAGAAAAGCTGAAACTTATGTGGAAGCATTCTGGGGTAGTGTAGATTTTAAATTGATAAAATCATGACCCCCGGGGATCGGGCGGGGCCGCAATGGGGAATCAAAGTTTTATATAGAAATATATAGGAAAAATCTTTAAAAATCTTCTTCTCAAGAACCACTGGGCCAGAAAAGCTGAAACTTATGTGAAAGCATCCTGGGGTAGTGTAGATTTTAAATTGTTCAAATCATGACCCCCGGGGATTGGGCGGGGCCACAATGGGGAATCAAAGTTTTACATAGAAATATATAGGAAAAATCTTTAAAAATCTTCTTCTTAATAACCACTGGGCCAGAAAAGCTGTAACTTATGTGAAAGCATCCTGGGGTAGTGTAGATTCTAAATTGTTCAAATCATGACTCCCGGGGATTGGGCGGGGCCACAATCGGGAATCAAAGTTTTATATAGAAATATATAGGAAAAATCTTTAAAAATCTTCTTCTCAAGAACCACTGGGCCAGAAAAGCTGAAACTTATGTAAAAGCATTCTTGAGTAGTGTAGATTCTAAATTGTTCAAATCATGACCCCCGGGGATTGGGCGGGGCCACAATGGGGAATCAAAGTTTTATATAGAAATATATAGGAAAAATCTTTAAAAATCTTCTTCTCAAGAACCACTGGGCCAGAAAAGCTGAAACTTATGTGGAAGCATCCTGGGGTAGTGTAGATTTTAAATTGTTAAAATCATGACCCCCGGGGATTGGGCGGGGCCACAATGGGGAATCAAAGTTTTACATAGAAATATATAGGAAAAATCTTTAAAAATCTTCTTCTTAATAACCACTGGGCCAGAAAAGCTGTAACTTATGTGAAAGCATCCTGGGGTAGTGTAGATTCTAAATTGTTCAAATCATGACTCCCGGGGATTGGGCGGGGCCACAATCGGGAATCAAAGTTTTATATAGAAATATATAGGAAAAATCTTTAAAAATCTTCTTCTCAAGAACCACTGGGCCAGAAAAGCTGAAACTTATGTAAAAGCATTCTTGAGTAGTGTAGATTCTAAATTGTTCAAATCATGACCCCCGGGGATTGGGCGGGGCCACAATGGGGAATCAAGGTTTTACATAGAAATATATAGGAAAAATCTTTGAAAATCTTCTTCTTAATAACCACTGGGCCAGAAAAGCTGAAACTTATGTGGAAGCATCCTGGGGTAGTGTAGATTCTAAATTGTTCAAATCATGACCCCAGGAGATTGGGTGGGGCCACAATGGGGAATCAAAGTTTTACATAGAAATATATAGGAAAAATCTTTAAAAATCTTCTTCTCAAGAACCACTGGGCCAGAAAAGCTGAAACTTATGTGAAAGCATCCTTGAGAAGTGTAGATTTTAAATTGTTCAAATCATGACCCCCGAGGGTAGGATGGGGCCACAATGGGGAATCAAAGTTTTACATCGAAATATATAGGAAAAATCTTTGAAAATCTTCTTCTCAAGAACCACTGGGCCAGAAAAGCTGAAACTTATGTGGAAGCATCCTGGGGTAGTGTAGATTTCAAATTGTCTAAATTATTATCAGTGGGGTAGGGTGGGGTCACAAAATGTATTACAAGGAGGAAATCTAGTAAAGAACAGAATGGTCAAAGCTTCTCAGGTGAGCGATGTGGCCCATGGGCCTCTTGTTTTGCCTCAGTTTGTCTGACTGCAAGTGTGTCAACCTTTCACATGTTAGACTTTATTTTAAAAACGACTATATCGATTTTCACCAAATTTGCAGCATGGCATCTTTTCTTTTCACAAAACCAATCGGTTTGAAAAGATAAAATACAAATTAAAGCATCTTTGTGTAGTTAGGTTGGGCCACAAGGAAATAAAAAAGATATGATCTTAAATCTTCACAGGAACCACTGAAGATCCATACTTAAAATTTATGTTCATTCATTATATAGTGAAGATTGTGTACATTATGATCCCAAAGGTAGGAAGACAAGGGAACAAAAAACCACATCGCTCATCTGAACACATCGGTTCGGAAAAAGCACAAATCAATTCAGTGCTGTAAGGTTTACCAGAAGAAGGGGTTGGATTTTATA